TCTCCCATTGCGGAGCACGGGCTCCAGACGCGCAGGCTCAGCGGCCATGGCTCACGGGCCCAGATGCTCCACGGCATGTGGGATCTTCCCGGACCGGGGCACGAATCCGCGTCTCCTGCATCGGCAGGCGGACTCTCAACCACTGCGCCACCAGGGAAGCCCTCGGTGCCTTTCTTAGAGCTTTCATCACTCTTTAATTACAGCGTTAACAGAGCAAGGAAGTGTGCATGGACCCCTAGATGGGACACGTGCCTCGGAGTCCCCCACACCCAGCTGCCCCGGCCACGCTGCCCCGGACGTGTGTGTGCAGGCCACGGGGAGTGGCGGCTCCGTTGGAGGGGCCCCTGCCGAGGGGGCCCCACACCTGCCCCAGTGCCCTAGAGGGAGCCCGGCAGAGGCCCCTTTAAGTAGCACCGTGAATGGGCACCAAAGAGAAGTGGGGATACACAGGGGACACCAGGGCCCCCAGGATGGCCTCGGCGGGGCGACTCCAGCTCCACCAGCTCCCTTCATTGTCTGTTTCCTGGGCTGCATGACGGGCCTGGGCACACGTGAGGGTGGAGGGGCCCCACCGCTGCCAGGAGCTCTCTTCCAGGCCTGGGGGAACACGAGGCCCCAGGGGAGACCTGACCTTGTGCATTTCCCCGTGTGCCCCTCGAGGGATCCGTGCTGGACCTACCAGGCCTGCTCCAAGGCGTAGTCTCCAACCAGGACCCGTGGGCCCCTATGTCCAGGCACCAGGCCCTCCTGGGAGGCAGCTGGCGTGTGTAGAAGGAAGGCTCTGGCCAGCTCAGCCTGAGACTGGGTCTGGAGTCCGGGGTGAGGCTCCTTCCCCTGCACATGGAGCCGGGCAGGGCTGACAGGTGCTGGCAGGGGTGGGCGTGGTCACCCTTGGACAGGCTCACCTCCTGGGCGGCCCTACCACTCTGTGCTCTTCCAGGGAAAGTGACCCCCCAGCTCTTGGCAGAGGGTCTGAAGGACTCGGGCCAGCCGAGGAAGCCGGTCAGAGGGGCCAGGAGCAGTGTCCGTCCTCAGTCCTCAGAGGCCGGGGCCCCTGCGGGCTGTCTGCAGAAGCCCTGCGGCTTGGGGAGCCCGGCCTGCCTGGGAAGACGATGGTGGCGTACTCGGTCTGCTCCGGGACACAGGGGGCCGGGGGCTCCGGGGTCTTCTCTCGCCACTGGAAGTCCAGCTCCCCGTAGTCCACCGTGCACGCAGGCCCGGTGGAGGAGCCCTCCTTGGGGAGACAGGGAGGGACGGGTCGTCGGTCTCCGAGGGGCTGACGTGCGTGCGCGCGCGCGCGCACACACACACACACACACACACACACACACACACACACTTAAACGCGCGCATAGCAGGGCAGGGCTGTCCACCCAATCTCGGACACGCAGCGGTGGCGGGCAAGGGGCATGGCTGCTCTGAGGCTGCCCACCCCGGGCAGTCGCCCCGCCCCCCAGGGAGGTGCGGTCGCGGCGAGGGCACCGCCAAGGAAAGGACGCTCACCGGAGGCTGGTCTTCGCTCCTGCGCGCGCAGCCCTCTGCAGAGAAGCACACGAGTCAGGGAGCCCCGAGGCCCTGCTGTCGTGGCGTGGGGTCTCAGGGATCCCTGGGAAGGGACCTGGGTTGTCTGGGCCCCAGGGGCCCGCCTGGCTTCCAGGCCTCATGTGCGGCCCAGCCCAGTGCCCAGCACCTGCTCGGTTGCCGCAGCACACACAGCGGGCGCATCATCAGTGATCCCCGCACGTTCTCAAAAATATTTGAGGGCAGAAAGAGAGATTCCCTGGAGAGATGACCTCCCACAGGGGCTGTGCTCTCAGCTGGGCTGCACCCCTACCCCGCTCAAGGGGTGGGGTGTCCTCGGTGGTCTCCAGGCGGTGGGGCGGAGCCGGGGGCTCCAGGCCTGCGGTGGCTGTGGCTGTCACCTTGGGCGCCCAGCGGTTAGAAGAGCTTTCAGTGTTCTGCAGCCTGAAGTGCGGCCTGGGGTGACTCAGCCTTGGGGGGGGGCTGCCCTCCCCACTCCCCTCCCTCATACCCCTCCTGAGAGCAGGCACAGGGGTTGTGAGGGGACCCCAGACCCTGGGAAGCCCAGTCTGGCCCCTCCCTGTGGGGGGACACGGAGTGGGTAGGAGAAGGGGAGGGGTGAAGGGAGGGAGACTGTGGGCTGCGCCTGTCGGGGGTGGTGGGGCCTTACCTCGACTGGCCCAGAGGTAGACGGCCGCCAGGACCCAGGTTGGCAGGAACAGCAGCAGAACCCCCAGCAGGACGCTTGTGACACCGGTGACCAGGCCCTGTAACTGGCCTTCGGGCCTGGGTGGGGGGCTGGGGCGCTCTGTGGGCAGCTCCAGGACTCCCTCTGCGGGAGCAACAGGACGGGAATCAGAGCCGGGGACCCAGGGCCCTGCCCTCTGCGAGTCCTAGACCTGCACTGACCAGTCTCGCCCAGGCCTGCACCCCGGCACAGCTTCTGAACATGAGCTCATCCTGAGAGGCACCTGCCACCGGCCCCCTCCCTCAAGGACAAGTGGGTCTGGGGGTGCTTCCAGTCATGCAGAGCCAGGGCCGTGGGTCGCCGTGGTCCTGGGTGTGGGGCAGAGCCCTGGAATGGAGCCTGGCAACTCCTGCCCACGATGCCCCATGGCTGAAGCTGCTCCTGCTGGCTGCCCAGACCCCGCCCTGCTCACCCCTGCCCTCGGGGGCCCGCCCCAGCCCTGGGGGGGCGGGGCCCACCCCTGCCCTTGGGTCTCCAAGGCCCGCACCTGTCACCGTGAGCTCCGCAGGCCGGCTCTCGTTGATCTGCGTCTTGGGGGGCAGGTAGATGGCCCCACAGAAGTAGACGCCGCTGTCATTGCGCTGGGCGGCTATGATGCTCATGTGGAAGTGTCGCCCGCTGGGCAGCGGCGTGACGTGGAAGCGCCGGTCCCGGCCAGGCTGGCTGCGGTCCTCGGGGAAGGCGGCCAGCTTGACCGTCTGGTTGCTGGGGCTCATGCGGTACCAGTTGAGGACGAAGTGCTCGGGCTTGCTGGAGAAGCTGCAGGTGAAGGTGGCGTTCTCGCCCTCGGGCACAGTGAGCCGGGCTGGGGAGAAGGTGAGGGGGCTCCAGGGCGCGCTGGGGGCATCTGAGGGGTGCAGAGACGAGCAGTGGGTGGACTGCAGCAGGGGTATGGGAACCGCCCACCAGGCCCTCCCCGCTCACTTTCCCAAGGCCCGTCTGATGGGAAGGCTGTGCAGCGCTTCTGCCACAGAGCCTCGCGTGCCCCGGGGACGGGTGCTCGCCTCTCACGGGGCCGCTCCAGGGTGGGACTTTGTCCTTTGACTCTGCTGAGACCTGGGGCCGGGCTGCGATCTGGCTCTGACCTCCAGGCCCTCGCTTTTCCCCCTCCGCAGTGGTGCTTTAAAGGCCTTCATCCCCTCCCTCCTTGAGTCCCCAGTTGCCAGTCCTCGCAGGCCTGAGCCCCGCGCTCCCAGACCCGGCATACTGGTCCTGCCTGCTCTGTGCTGGGGGAGGGGGAGGGTAACTGGGAGGCTGGGCTGGGCTGGTGGGGGCATCCCACGGAGAACCCAGCCCTGGCAGGCTCCAGCTCAGGAGCAGCTCAGAGCTGGGAGCCCCCCCCCTCCCCCGCATGGGCACTGCTGACTGGGTGTGCCACGACTGAGGACTGGTGCTCAGAGGCCAGCCGGGCCATCGCCCCTCGCGTGGACGAGCCTGGGCTCTGCCTGCAGGCCCCCAGACAAGGCCAGCCGTCGCCTGCCAGGCCCCACCTGGGGATGCCCCACCACGTGCAGGGGCCCGCCTCACTGACACACACACGCAGCTCACGTTGGCACGCGCACGCATGGGTGTGCACGCCCTCACACCCAGCTCGCTGGCTGGGGGATTGGGGGTGGGGCAGCCCCTCCCAGGAGATGCCCAGCCGCACCCTACAGAGTCCAGGCTGACGTGATGGCCCGTGTCGCAGGGAGGGGCCCCGGGTGGGACGCACATGTGGCCAAACCCACACCCGGTGCTTTAGCCCCTGCGGACGGCTCATGCTGGGAGCTTGCGCAGTGGCCACTGATTTGCACAGTGGCAGGCCTGAGGCTGCCCCCACAAGACCCAGCTCCGGGTCTGCGGCCAGCTCCCCTCAGCCCCCTGCCCGCTCCTCCAGGCGGGGGTATCCCCTGGCCCCTGTGGAGGGGCAGCTTTGTGCAGGGCGGGCGGTTGTCTTCGCATTTCTGTGGAGGCCCGTCCCACTAGCAAGGAGGGGGCAGCGGGGAGGCTGGGCGGCCTGAGGGCGGCCGGGCCT